AGTGATGGAAGCAATACCAGGATCAGATCCTAAAACCACTATTGGGGGAAGGTGATTTTTGTATCTTATAGTAGTAAGAGACAGAGGGTTGGAAATGAGCTTGGCTGAGAGTGTTTCTGTATTATGCTTACACAGTCTCTTTTAAACTGCTTATAATATGATCTGGACTGAGTGAAAAACAATAAAAAGTCCAATAAAATACTGTTCAAGGTCATGAGAATAAACCTCTGTTTCTATAAAGATTTATACAAACCGTTGTTATAAACATTTATATTTAAACAGTTATTTGCAGGTGTCCTTTTTTTTTTTTTGTCTTCTTTTTTTGTCCTTTTTTCTTTGTCTTTTGTCATCTGCCGGGATGTGGCCAGCATAAGAAGACAAAGCGGGGTCTGTACATCTCCATGCTACTGATGTTCTGTCAGCTTTTCAAAGCGTGCATTGCCATGTTTGTATGGATATGCCTGTTAGAAATATAAAGACCTCTTTACGTCCTGTTGTGTAAATTTGTTATATAACAAACACACCTAGCCTACATTTACAGGAGGATCACTTGCACAGACTTGTACAACAACCTATTCACAAACACGGGAAATCATTCCTGTACAGCAAAGATCCGTCTTTTACACTGAGGAAAAAAGAAGTGTTTTTGTATAGTTTGGTGTTTTGTCATTGCTTAGCTTTTTAAAAGGCATAAATGCCAGCACATACACATGATGTCCTGCAGCTAATAGAAAATAAGGTTCTGGGTGGTCTTCTTCTAGATATGTTTCCTTAGAGATTGTGTATGCTGTTTCCAAACACAGCAGATTTTTTCCTGACCAGGCTCCGACATCGCTCATTTTCCACCCCTCAGATCTAATGTTGAAGAGAAATGACTACAGACCTACAGGTGAAACTCGAATAATTAGAATATCGTGCAAAAGTAATTGCAGTAAGTGCTGCAAAAGGGGCCCAAATCAAGTACTGAGTACATATGCATGCTTGTACTTTTCAGGGGTCCGATATTGTTCTATGTACAATCCTTGTTTTATTGAATGCATGTAATAATCTACTTTTTTGAGGTTGGGGTTTTCATGAGCTGTAAGCCATAATCATCACAATTATGACATCACGGCTTGAATTATCTTGCTTTGCATGTAATGAGTCTATCTCATATATTAGTTTCACCTTTTAACTTGCATTAGTGAAATAAATGAACTTTGCACGATATTCTAATTATTCGAGTTTCACCTGTATAGCCTTTGCTCACCTTGTGAAAACTCTATCTCGCCTGTTTTCTTCCTCCGTCCATTTCAGCAACCATTCTATTCCCTGCTGCCTTTTGTCTTTATCCTGGGCTAGCCACAATAACATCTCCTGCTTCTTCCTTCCATCTCCTGTTCCCCAGCTGCTTCTAAAGAATAGAAGAGGTGTCCCCCGTCCCCAGTGTCCCTCTTGTTTACTGGTCAGATAATGAATAAAGCAATACAAGTTTTGCTGCTGTTCTCCAATTAGTTTTATTACTGTAAGTAGTGAGTGATAGATGCGGTCTATCCTGGATCTATCCCGCATAGAGTCCTATCCCATAGTACAATTCTATTACTGTAAGGTTGGTGGGCCGACTGCTTTTCCTCATTAATCCATGGAGAACATTGAAACAATTTAAAAACCATTCACAGCTCATCCTAATCCCTGCTGTCCTCAACATGGGCATGCTATTGTGTGTGTGTGTTTTGTGAGAAGCCTCTCCTCCATTTGGGGTAGACAGCCTCAAATGTGGGTGAAGATGGGGTTCTATATGCAGCTTACAGAGTCCACACTGCTGTTTTGGTTTTAAACTGGCTGCAGAAAGATTTATTACTTGTCCACTGCCAAGAATCCCTAGCATGTCCAACACGAACATGACAAAATCCTCTCTGGCAAGTAAATGGTCCTTGTGCAGAGCTCCCCAAAAAAACAGTAATTCCTGCTTATCATTCTCTCACTGGGCAGCATCATCCTCTGGTACACTCAAAGCTTGTGGGAGTTGTGATTTGTATGTATGTATGTATGTATGTATGTATGTATGTATGTATGTATGTATGTTCTTGAAAATGGCTTGAAAAATCCACTCGTCTGATGAGAGGACAGTGGAGCCCGACGAGCTGCTTCCCGGCCGTTGTAATTACACAGACGCTCGATCGCTTGTATTAGCAGCTGTCACTGCCATTGCTGGTCCCGAGATCCGATGCGGCCGGGACCGGCACGGCTCTGTGACAGGAGATCAAAGGGAGTTCAGTAAACTAACTACCTTTTGATCTCCCCTCAGTCCCGGAATGCAGGAAGTGATGTATATTACATCACTTCCTGCATTTAGTGTCACTCTCCAGCTACAGAAGCTGATAAAGCAGATCTCAACTTCTCTGGGGGTCCCTAGGTGACAGTGGTCTTGCAGACCCCTGATGTCTCCCTAAAGAGGACCTGTCATGTAAATTGGCTATCACATAGGGGGCTTCTTAGCCCCCCATGTAATGGCAATAAAGTTGTGTGTAAAAAAAAAAAAATAATACTAAAATTAAAGCATAAAAACAATAACATTTTTTTTAGTCCCCGCCCCCCACATGCACATGTTACATATCGCCGCAAACGTCCGAGTGTGAGCAATAATTTCAGAGACATTAATCACTGATCGCACTAAACTAATGAGCAGTAAAAGCGTTTTAATCGTCGCCTATGGGCCCTTTTTTTTTTTTTAAAGGCTTGACATGTTTGGTGTCGGTGACGTAACCCCGACTTTTATGTTTTTAACAAAAAAATATGGGTAAGAATAAATGTTTTCTAACATAATTTTTTTTTATTTAATCTTTTCTTATTTTAGACCCTAGACCAAAATAATCACAATTCTATTTTGATATTACAATGCAAAGTGATGTCTGTCTAAAAATTAACACTTCCCGACAGGAGAAGCGTAAATATCTCGTTAGTGTGCTCCTCCTTTATTGTCCATTCATAGTTTGGGGTGGGTTCTAGACCAAGCTGTACAGAACCTGACTGCACCTACTGGCAGGCGTGTCTAATACCACACCACCAGCTGAGCAAAATTAAGAATTCTTATGACACTTAAATAGTTTACATGTGTGTATTTCAGCAGTGTTGTTGGATCTTTGCCTGGAGTTCAGCTTGAAAGGTAGACAGCTTGAAAATCACATTTACACATACCTCTTAATGAGGTGAGGGGGCACAGGAACTGTGACGGCTCATACTAGCATGTAACATGTCCTAGGAAGGGGCGGAATTTGTGTTTTATTCACAGTTGGTGTAATGTGTGTGGCGTGTTTTGTTTGTTTTGCTTTCTTTCTTACAATGTCCGCTTTTTGGTTTCTTCAATGACGCCGGAAGACAGATAATAATAATTTCCTTAGCAAAGTATAATGAAATTGTTCTTTTTCCATAACCCTCATCCAGCACTTTGTAAGAGCTTCTGTATTCCCAATGTGTTATAAAACACAACTGATTACTTTCCGTTCCCATGACTGTACGAGCTGGAACAATGATAGGTCTCAAGACACGGGAACATTTCCTGTAACATCCGGCATTTTTATACCGAGTGACGTGAAGTCCCTGAGTTGTATCTTTTGGGTTACATTTTAGATTTAGTTCTGTTTCTGCTACAGCATAACATTGACCTAGCCAGTGATTCCATTGAGCATTGAATAAATATTGAAGTTCATTCAATGTGCCTAATGTGCAACACGAGCCAAAAAGGATTTTCCATTTTTAGAAAGAAAGTTAAAACTCTTTGGGTTTGACTATTTAACGGTGTTAATGACCATAGTTCCCTAAACTTCCTTTTCACACTCCAAAATATTAAAGTGACACTAAACTCAGGAGTCAAACCTTAAAATGCATACAAGTACCTTTTAACTATTAACAAAAAATGCATCTTATTTGTGTATCACTCAGCTGTAGATCCTCAAATCATCTCTGAATTGGTGCGGACACTGTCCTTCCTTCTGGAGGGGGGCTACTCTTGTTCCCCATGGTCCCTGTGTGTGTTATAGTAGCCAGTAGCCACCACTCCAAGCTCACTCCTGTGATGGACTACAATGTCAATACAAATTGGCAAATGAAACAGGAAATTGTAGTTCATCACGGGAGCAATCTTGGAGCTGTGGCTACTTTACAACACACACAGGGACCATGGGGGAACATAAGTAGCCGCCCTCCAGAAGGAAGGACAGTGTCTGCACAAATTCAGAGATGATTTGAGGATCTACAGCCGAGTGATACACAAATAAGAGACATTTTTTGTTAATAGTTGAATGCATTTTAAGGATTAACATGAGTTTAGTGTCACTTTAAAACTAAACTGTCAGATCCTTTAGACTTGCTAAGTTGACAGTATTGCTGAAGCAGAGGCACCTTGTGGTGGCTAGAAGTACTAGTGGTAGTTTTGGTAATCGTCCCTGTGGAGCCCCAGAATTCCAAGATCAAGCTATTTAAATAGCCAATGTTTAACCTCACCCCCTCCTTTAAGTCGATTGCCCGTGTGTCTGTTAGCCCCAGAGGTTCTGGTATCGGACTGTAAATTGGAGGAGGTGTGGCTTAGTGAAAAGGGTAAGGCAATATGTTTATATCATTTATAATAATCCTAACAGACTATTTCTAAAAAGGTTATTCCTGTTACTGTTTGTATTTTGTTAATATTGCACTGACCGCTATAGGATAAAACACATTAAGGTCACAATGATATACTTATCAAATTAAATGCTTACATCTAAAAATATTTTGTAGGGTTAGCAATGCATCGGTGTTTGATATAAATGGGCTGTTTGTTCAGAGATAATAGATTTAACATCTGTCGCTGAATGGAGGCATGGGGAAGTTATATGGTTCATGCTAATGAGCACACAGTCAGACAACTCCTTAAATTAAAGTGTGCAGAAGGGGTTGTGCATTATTAATCAGCCTAAATTATTTTCATTTGGATGTAATTATGTTCCCTGGTGAGATCATTTTCTCTTTTTTTTAATGTCTTGCAGGTACCATTCCAAGTGCTGCCAGGAGAGAGTGTGGAGTATTTAGGGAGTGCAAATGATGCTGTCATAGCGATTTCCAACTACAGACTGCACATCAAGTTCAAAGATTCGGTCATTAACGTAAGCACACACAATACTGACATTTATCAAGCAAAATAGAGCTACAATTAGAAATACTTCAGGCTGATTCTCAGTTCCCAAAGTATTAGCAACAGTTTTTCCGTATATTTGTGACCCCTGAGTCTAGATTTCTGGGCAGCAATCTGGTAGTGTAATGTTTTTTCATGTATTTGTTGTAAACCATCTTGGTTTTAAAATTTCCCATAGTAAAATAAAACAGTATCCTTGCTTTCCATATCCTGATAAACCATATGTTTACATTTCTACATAACAGGAGAAATCCAACTTTAAAATAGTGAAACACCCAGTACCCAGATGCAGCAGTGCCGTCCGTCCGTTTTTTTACTACGGGCGGACTGCAAGAGGTTAAACCAGCTTCCCAATCAGCAGACTGCCTACACTTTACTAATGAGATTGGGGGGGTTGGCAGGGAGTGGTTGTTTCTGCTACTTAAACAGGGGCAGCCACTTGCCTATTTTGGGCAAAGTGACATCTTTGCCTAATAGAATCCCATCCCTAGTAAAGTATACTCGCCCACCCATATATCCTCATTGCCTCTTCACAGTCCACCATGTGTAAGCTCTGGTGTAGGAGTCCTGATTGTCTGCATCGGGATGTTTGTTTGTTTGCATCGGGATGAAAATGTGTCCCCTTTACCCGAAGCCCCACTCTGTTAGAATTATGGAGTGAGGATTTCAAGAAAGCAGCGAGGGAGCGTGGATCTCCAAGCATCCCATGGTGTGGGTGGACTATCCGGGACGCTCACTTTCCTCTGAATGTGCAGGTGACAGTTTAAAGGCTACACGCAGTACAGTTAGAAATAGGAGTGTCCTTTTTGTTCATACTTCCATATTTTGTGCTTCTGATTACTGAATTTCACATTTTTGAGACATTTTGGTGTTGTCTTTGCAGGTGCCTTTAAGAATGATTGAAGCTGTGGAGAGCCGTGACATGTTCCAGCTACAAATTATTTGCAAAGACTCCAAAGTAGTGAGGTATATCTGCTTAAAATTGTGTGTGTATATAATTGTTTTTAAAAAATATGTATGTGTATTTATAAATTTTTCATAATTGTGTCACCTTCCAAAAACCCTTTTTTAAATGTTGGTAAACTTAGAGTGACATTAAACTCAGGAGTTGAATCTTAAAAATACATTCACGTACCTATTAACATAAATATATCTTATTTGTGTATCACTCGGCTGTAGTTCCTCAAATCATCTCTGAATTGGTGCTGACACTGTCCTTCCTTCTGGAGGGTGGCTACTTTTGTTCTCCATGGTCCCTGTGTGTGTTGGAAAGTAGTCACTGCTCCAAACTCGCTCCCGTGATGGACTACAATCTCACGTTTAGTTTACTCATTTGTGTTTAGGATTATAGTCCATGACTGGAGTGAGCTTGGAGCGATGACTACTTTACAACACACATAGGGACTATGAAGAACAAAAGTAGCCACCCTCCAGATGGAAGGACTGTGTCGGCACCAATTCAGAGATGATTTAAGGATCTACAGCCGAGTGATACACAAATAAGATACATTTTTGTTAATAGTTAGGGTACTTTAATGCATTTTTGAGGTTGAACTCCTGAGTGTAGTGTCACTTTAAAAGTTAAGCTTAAAATCTATAGTGATTCTACATTGCGCCTTTTCTTGGCCCGCAGAGGACAACAAGAATATTTTAGCTCCTCGGTCGAGTAGTCAGTTTAATTTGATGGCTCACTTTGCACGTTACTACTGAAGCATGAAGCCGAGTTCAGGTACAAATAATGTTCTAGCCTCTGGTAAGGAATTCTTCTCCATTCCACTATTAATTCAGCTGCCTCTGCAATTTATTTAATTACGGAGCACTCACATTTCATTTATGTCTTCTATGTTCACACAAATTTTATTCAGCTTTTAATCGAAACAGCTGATTTTCGTAATAGTTCTGTCAACTCAAAATTGATTTTTTTTTTCCCCTTTTTGGTAAATGCTGTTAAGTTGAATTTTCCATCAAAGCCTTTTATTCCTTGGCTATGCTGAACTAAAATGTTTCCCTGTTTGATTTGCAGATGCCACTTTTCCACATTTAAGCAGTGCCAAGAGTGGTTGAAGCGGCTGAGCAGAGCTACTGTGCGTCCCACCAAGCAAGAAGATCTGTTTGCATTCGCCTATCATGCATGGTGCCAGGGGATCTGCACTGATGAGGAGGAGCATCATATCCACCTCTGTCGTCCAGGTAAGAAATTGCTGTCTATTTTATCAGTGGAAGATCTTGAGGCAGCCCCCTCTGCCAGACACCACAGCAAGGCGCTCAGACCCTACCAAAATAGCTGTACAGCCTGTGGAGTGGACAACAGAGGAGCAGCAGCGCAGTGATCACTCAGTTACAGGCCTGTGTCAATGAGCTGTGTTGATGGGATTGCTTTTCACAAACGTTTGATACACTTCTGAGATCATTCAGAATTCATTGACAGTTGCAGCTGACTGCTTTTAAGCTGCTTTGGTGTGTCATAGAATTGCTTGGGGATACAAGCACCTGTGACATAATCAAAAGCCAATCCACACAAGCCCTCTACTTTCACCTCCGGTCAGCATGTTCAATGTTGGCACATGTGCATGCAGCCAAGCCTTATTGGCTGCTAGTGCCCCCTTGTGTCAGGCCTAGGTTCTGGGAATTTACATGTCAGGTTCTTTATATTAGATTGATTTAATGATGCTGTTTTTAATGAATACCTTACTGTATTAATCAACAAAAAAAAAAAAAAAAAAAAAAAAAAAATCCCCTTGCATTGGGGTTACCTCTGCACTGCAAGCGTTAACTGCTTGTTTTTGTCTAGGGGACCTTTTGTAAAGGACTTTTACTTACTTGCTCCTCGCTCCCACCAGTTCCAAGACCTACACCCACATCCTTTTCCTCCCTCCACTCTGGTGGTCGGAGGTTCCAATTACGCCATCACATCGAATGCATGGCCCATAGCCCTGCATTATAAGAGAGAGAG